TCTTTCTTTCTTTCTTTCTTCTAAGATTTATTTATTTATTATGTGTATAGTGTTCTGCCTGCATGTATGCTGCAGGCCAGAAGAGGGCACCAGATCTCATTACAGATGATTGTGAGCCACCATGTGTTGCTGGGAATTGAACTCTGGACCTCTGGAAGAGCAGCCAGTGCTCTTAACCTCTGAGTCATCTCTCCGGCCCCAACCATTGATATTTCAAAACAAAAGTTGGTTCCTGTTTCTGCTAAAACTCTCCAATAATCCCCCAGTGTGCTTAGAATACAACCTAAGCCTCCTGTGGTGGCCTCCCAGGTCCTGGCGCTCTAGCCCCTGCCTACTTGACCACTATTGTCTACTGCTCTTACCCTGGTCATTGGGTTCCAGTCCTATTGGCTTCTTTGACCACTGGTTTGTACCTACCTTTGAGATTTTACCCAGCTCCCTTCTTTCTCTGGAACCCCACAGCCCTCCCTTTCTGTCTTCTATTTTAAGAGAGTTCTTCTTCCTCTTTTTCCTACCAAACTTCCCTGTATTTTCCATGACATTATTTTTCATAAGTTATCAATGTTTGCCTCATTTGTCTGTGTGTTCTCCACAGAATGGAAATGTCAACACGAGCAACTGTGTCTATCTAGGTCACCATGGCTAGTCCCAGCACTGGGCATGCAGTAGGTATTTAAATAGTGTTTGTTGCCAGGCATGGTGGCACATGCCTTTAATCCCACACTTGGGAGGTGACACAGTCAGATCTCTGTGAGTTTGAGGTCAGCCTAGTCTACATAGTGAGTTTCAGGCTAGCCAGGGCTACATTAGTGAGACCCTATCTCAAAACAAAAATACCAACAAAGGGCATATTGAATGAACGAATGAATGGGTGAGGCCTTGGATACAGACCTTTTAGGGATCTCATAGGCTTTTCTATGCTTCATCCACCAACCCATCCATCCATCCATCCATCCATCCATCCATCCATCCCTCTAGCCATCTGTTCACATCTCAAAAGCTGAGCTGGCCATGAGTAGGGCTCAGGGATACACAGTTAGATGCTCATGGTCGGGGGAAAG